AAGGCCAATACAGTGTCAAGGTCAAGCTCCCTAACACGTACACTAAGGGGCTCTCACCGATGCACAAACCAAGGCGTATTACCGGGCCTTAGAGTGGCCGGACTTAACGTGTATATAAGTAAAGCGAGAAGTATAGAATAGTCAGACAGGCCAAGGTCAGGATAGGAGATGGAAGGATAAACGTAGAACAAAGCCAAGGGTCAAGGATACCAGAAGAACGGAAAAACGAGAAACAAGCCAAAGCCAGATACCAGAAAAGTCTATACTAAAGAAACGCACTCTTCGGCTACAAAGACCACAACAGGACAAGGAAGTAATGTAAAAGAGAGATATAAATAGGGCTAAATGTAAGCTGATAGGCTAGGGAACCAATTAGGGTAATAATTGAACAGATATAAATTGTGTGCGAGCCCAGATGTAAAATAGCTTACTTTACCTTTAAGGGGCCAAAAACAACAAAAGGCGCACACCCTCTAGCTGGTCATTGTGCGTGCGCACCCTTGATGTTGGCCAAACTTCGGGACACCGCGAGAGAGGAGAGCCATAGTCAGCGTGGACAGCGGGACTGAATCAGCACAGTCCGAGACGAATATGACAGGACCTTAATCCATTAAAACAATCCTATTTCAGTAAATCATAAAAAATTACAAGTAATACCCTCCCCCTACATCCCCTTTTATAAGGCTAATCTATACTGGTGATTTGGTAGCTTGCTGAGGAAGTCTACTGGGTGGAAAAAACGCGTTGGACTCATTATTATTTTTCCTATGAGTGCAACATTGACAGCGCTATTTTATTTATTTGCTACAATTCTTCACTATGTGAATTCCTTTATAGATATACAGCTGTATCCTGGTTTATATACATAGGATTAAATGCAAGAAGAAAAAGTATGTGAACCCTTTGGAATGATACGGATTTCTGCACAAATTGGTCATAAAATGTGATCTGATCATCATCTAAGTCACAACAATAGACAATCACAGTCTGCTTAAACTAATAACACACAAAGAATGAAATGTTGCCATGTTTTTATTGAACACACCATGTAAACATTCACAGTGCAGGTGGAAAAAGTATGTGAACCCCTAGACTAATGACATCTCCAAGAGCTAATTGGAGTGAGATGTCAGCCAACTGGAGTCCAATCAATGAGATGAGATTGGAGGTGTTGGTTACAGCTGCCCTGCCCTATAAAAAACACACACCAGTTCTGGGTTTGCTTTTCACAAGAAGCATTGCCTGATGTGAATGATGCCTCGCACAAAAGAGCTCTCAAGAGACCTACGATTAAGAATTGTTGACTTGCATAAAGCTGGAAAGGGTTATAAAAGTATCTCCAAAAGCCTTGTCTATTGTTGTGACTTAGATGATGATCAGATCACATTTTATGACCAAATTGTGCAGAAATCCATATCATTCCGAAGGGTTCGCATACTTTTTCTTGCAACTGTATATGGTTTATAATCTTCTCTATTATTCTAACTACTAGCTTGTTTAGGACTACACTCGCCATTTTGAGGAATTACTTTAATTTCACATCACTTAAAATATTTACATTTAATCCAGTCATTCTAAGGATCATTAAAACATCTTGCTATCCTAACATTCTGTATTTTCAGCTCTCTGATCCCTGGCCTAGTATTAGGGAGAAAGATCATATCCATTCCATTCAGATTTTAGAAGTTAAAGTGGGAAATGATGTGTTGAACTTTTTTGTATTGAATAGAAAATTAATGTAAGTGTCGTGCTCACTAATTGCAGTATGTTAAGTATTGTTATTCATTTGGGCTTATTTGGCATAACTGTTGCCTTTTTTTCTCTCAGCCCTCACCATTACAATGATACAGGCTCATATAGCAGCATGCAAACCTAGCCTGCACCAGATGAATCCTATGAGCTAGTTAATAAGGAAAAGCCTGTTTAAACTGTTGTACTGCTCTGACATCATTATTTAATATTTCCCTCAAAGTTCTGAGAGTTTTATAATGTTCCATTTTCCTGGCTTATTTATGTATTTATTCCAATCCGTGGTAACCTGGCTTTTCCCTGTTGATCAAATATCTACTGCTGGTACTGATTACGTGGCTTGTTACTGTTTATTCTGAAACCCTCTAGCTCCCTCACCTTATCCTGTTTCCAATAACTATTTTGTTGCCTGTTATCAGCACGACCACAATCTTCACATGATTTTAGGGGTCGCTGTACTCATAGTGACAGTCAAACCAGTGGTTGTGTGAAGTTAAAAAACACAAACTATGCCTTCCCCCCACCCCCAATGAAATAATAAAATAATAGTCACACACTTATAAATATATGTATAGATATTTGTTTGGTGGAAAAGAGTAAACAGAATATAATTTGACCCTTATTCACCTTATTAACTTGTTAACCTGATAACAGGTTTTAGACTACATTATTTGTGGTGTTCATTTTGAAATTCTTTACATGCAAATACAGGGTCACATTCTTTGAGATTTCACAATCATTATTGTCTTGCCAACATGCTAATACACCTTCTGTGACCTTACTTGTTATGTGTTGACCTGGCTTATAAATTGTGTCTTTCAATCATATTGGTAAGCTCTTTATTCTTACATTTTACCTTGCTAAATATAAGCTTCTGCCCTCAAAGAAACATATCACGTTTGCTATATTCTTGAAATTGCTCAGCAGTATGTTCTCCATTGTGGAAATTATGGGAAGCCCTTTAAATGACCAAAGTACAGCTGGAGAAGATATTCCTTAAAATGGAAACATTTGTGACTTTGCATTCAAAAGCGAGTCAAAAAGCAATTTTCATGCTTCAGATTAAGTTTGGTCACATGGTATTCATTTACCCCTCCATAGACAGAGGACAAAATTAACATTTTTGCTAAGTCTTTGTCATCGGTAATTTCCCATTTAGTGCCCAAACACATATTATACACTATTTTTAAAGTGAGCTTAGATGGGCTCTTAAATATTTCACAACTTTTTAGGGCTTTCTATGTATACCTAGTATAAATGCATAATGCATTTTTTAGCCTTTTATAATTTGACAGCCAGTGTAGCTAAAGAAATGTATGTCAAAATAGATTTTGCCATTTGGTCTAATATTGGGAATACCTACAGTATATACTCGAGTATAAGTTTAGTTTTTCAGCACATTTTTTGTGCTTAAAAACCCCCACTCGACTTATACTTGAGTCACTGTCTGTATTATGGCAACTTAGAGAGCTGCGTCCGTCAGAGCCGTGGCAACAATCCGCGCGGCAACCAGACCGCGAGACTTACAGTGGAGCTGACCAGAACGGAGGAGAAGGGAGCTGACAGGAGCTGCAGGAAAGGTAAGTAAATGCTTCCTGCCGGCCCCCCACTTCACAGCCCATGCCACTGGACCACCAGGGATTAAGATAGCCCCCCTCCCTGACCGGTTAACAAGCAGGGAGGGGAGACACATTTTTTTTAAATAATAATAAAAAATAATATTAAAATTAAAATAATAAAAATGCCCTCCCCCCACCCAGTTCACACACACTACACAAACACACACTCTTCATTATATACACACTCTGCATTATATACACAGAGTGTGTGTATATAATGCAGAGTGTGTGTTTGTATGAGTGTGTGTGTGTATATAATGCAGAATGTGTGTTTGTATGAGTGTGTGTGTGTATATAATGCAGAGTGTGTGTTTGTATGAGTGTGTGTTTGTATAATTATAAAAATCACAGAATTTCATAGCCCCAAGTTTTACCCTCGACTTATCCACGAGGCATAGCATATTTCACAATTGTTGGTCACAAAACTGCATTCGACTTATACATGAGATCGACTTATACACGAGTATATACGGTAATATGCCTAGAATGTTCATGTAGTTTTCCCCTGTTACAGGTGATATACTAGAAGGAGTGCATTCATGTTTCAAAGCAAAAGGTTTTAAAAAATGTTAATATGTTTTAGTTAAAAAGAGGCCGCCAAACACAAATTTCTAAATAAAAGTATATATATATTTTTTGATAGTATAAATTTATTATTAATTAGTACCTGTAAACATTTCAAGTAATTTTTTTGACAGTTTTTATTTAGATGGGGTTTTTTGTTTTGTTTTTTATATTCTTTATTTTTGTAGTGCACACACATTGCAGCAAATTAGTCAAGACAGTATGGCAACAACAAGAGTAAGACAGCACATTTTGTGTATCGATAATGACAACCTGAATGACTTTTAACAATGGTACACAGCTTCCGAAAAACACATAAAACTAATGTACCCGGGAAGTTAACAGGACACTGATATGTCTTGTGCTAGCATTGGGATGCTAAGTACTAATGGGAAAAAGTGTATGCTAACTCAAGAGGTGTACAAAAGCCAACCATAGAAAACTGTGTAACATAACACTCTTCGGTGAATAGGTGTATGTAGGTGGGGGGGTGGGGAGGTGTTAGAAAGCTAACCAAGGGTGGAATCTTATGAAATTTCGCATAAGAACTAAGCAGACAGGGACAACTGTAAATAAATTCTTGACAGTTAGGGAATTGGCATGGAGTCTTAATACGCGTCCCTATGTAAGGCAATGGAGTAGTGTGACTATAGAGTGATCACATGTTGAAACTGAGCAGTGCAAAGTGAAAAACAATACAGTAGCAATATTGTTATTTATTTTAAATGTAATGCAAAAATGGGTTGAATTTGGCAGTGTGCAGTTTAGTGTCCATAGCTGCCGAATATTTGTGTGCAAGGGTGGACTGACCAGTCGGGCACTTCGGACATGGTCCGAGGGCCCGGCCGGGAGGGGGGCCCGCCGCCAGGGCCGCCATCAGGGGGCCCGGCGGCATGCCTGGATTGGGGGCGGCATCTGGGGACTGCGGAAGAAGGTGCCACCAGGTGGCCGGTCCGGTGGCACACTCTGAGGGGGCCGGCTGCGTTTCATGCTGGAGCCGCCGGGCTGGGTGGCAGCCACGCCGGTCCGGCGGCACTCCTGTCCTGTCACTAATGCTGAGGACGGAAGGAGGGAGGAGCATGTCTCTCTCTCCTCTCATGCTCCCTTGCGGTTCCCATAATTCCCAGCACAGGATGTAGGAACCGCAAGGGAGCATGAGAGAGAGAGAGACATGCTCCTCTCTCATTCCGTCCTCAGCATTAGTGACAGGACAGGAGTGCCGCCGGACCGGCGGCTCCAGCATGAAACGCGGCCAGCCCCCTCTGTCTTCTCTTGGTAAATGGGAGGGGGGGGAAATAAAACAGAGAGGGGGAATAGATAGAGGCAGGGGAAGAAACAGACAGTGGGAGAATAGAGAGACACAGGGGGAGGGTAAGGAAAGAGACAGAGGGGGAGAGAGAGTGAAACAGAGAGAGGAGGGAGAAAGAGGGGGGAGAGAGAGTGACACAGAGAAAGGAGGGAGAAAGCGACAGAGGGGGAAGAGTAGAAACAGGGGCCGATCTCTCTCCCCGGTCTGCAGGCACCGTGCAGGCAGCCGGCAGGGGAGGGAGGAAGAGAGGACCCGGGAGTTCAGCCTGCAGCTCTTCTGGTTCCTTCTCACGCAAGCACAGAGCGTTGCCGGGATTACCACGGCAACGCTTCGGCTCTTGCGAGAGTGACCTCTAGCCCTGGAGCTACAGGCTAAAGTTCACTCTCAACACTGCAACCACCAGGGATTCCTGGTGGTCGCAGTAGTGAGAGTGAAATCTAGCGCAATACACACACTGCCCCCACACACCCTACACATTTACACACTGCCCCTACACACACACCATACACACTGCCCTCACACACA